CCCGCACGGGTGCCGGGCAGGGGGCGGCCTCTCGGGCACCCATCGGCGGTGACTGGGCGATCGGGGGTCGGCGCGTCCCCCCTGAGCGCATCCCGCCCTGCCTGACGCTAGGTCGGGCATGTCCTCCTACAGGCGGATTTTGGAAGAAATATGGGAAATAGCCCAGAAATATTCAAAAATAGCCAACGGTCGGAAATTCGTCCCCAGGCTATTGTTTACTCTTTTGGAATATTCCTCCTGTAGAGAGACATGCCCGACTTAACCCTAACGCTGCCCGAGGAGGCCGCGGGGGAACCCCTGGAGACCTCCGGGGACCGCCGGGAAACTCCCCGAGGCTTAATAGGGAGAGAAGCACAGGCCTGCCGGGCCGAGGTGGAGCTGGTGGGGACCCGCCCCTCGCCTTCCCCCCACAATTATCGCCCCCCCGCTCATCCCCCCTGTCCCCCTCCTCATCCACCCCCCCTCCTCCTCCTCCCTCTCCACCTCCTCCCCTCTTCCTCCTACTCCCTCCTCTTCCTATTTTTCCTCCTTTTCCTCCTCATCCTCGTCCTGCTTCTCCTCCTCCTCCTCCTCCTCCTCCTCCTCCTCCTCCTCCTCCTCCTCCCCCTCCTCCTCATCCAACGACGACGACGACGATCAAGACGAACAAGACGACGACCAAGACGAAGACGAAGACGAAGACGAAGACGACGACGACGACGACGACGACGACGACGACGGCGACGACGACGACGAGGACGAGGACGAGGACGAGGACGACGACGATGAGGAAGAGGACGGCGAGAACCGACGACGACGACAACAACGACGACGACGACGAAGCGACCTCGACGACGACGGCGGCGACCTCTGAAGACGGCAGCCTCAGCCTCGAGTCGCGCTCTGCCTCGCATCGCCCCTCCTCCATCACCCCTCTCGCTGCCTCCACCCGCTGGCCCTGCAGCACTGCACGGCTGCTTCGAAGCAGCAACACCCTTAGAAGCATGAACTTCCGGACCTCCGCGCGAATGTTCTTGGACCTGCGCCGGACCCCCCCCCTCCCTGGCGCGCGGAGCGCGGAGCGCGCCAGGCGCGGCGCCAGAGGCGCCGCCAGGGGGGGTCCAGCGCCGATCCAAGAAGCCCGCGCGGGCCTCCGAGGGTTGGTGCTGCAGACAGCGAGCCCGCGCGTTCCTCCTGGGCGGGGTGGGCGTGCAGGCCCCCAGCAGCGATGACCGGGGTCGAACCCGCCGGATCCCGCGCGCATCCCGCCCTGAACCCTTGATTACAGTCGGGGCGTTGACCTAAGGAACGATAAATAAGGAACGGGGCCCCTATTTTCCATAAGTTAAACTTCGATTTCGCATCGAAAACCTAAGGACAACCCAAGGCAAGCTGCGAAACAATTAAGGAACACGGAGCCTCTCCCCAACGAAAAGGGTTCCTTCTTCCAAACCCCTACTGTATCAACGACGAATAGGTGAGCTCCAATCCACGTTGTGGGAGTCGAAACGTCGCCAGCAAGCCAGGAGCCTCACACGACCCGACCTGCGATAGACAGACTCCTACAGTGAACCTTGGCCTGACAGAGGAAGCGAACGTGCCGCATGCGAATGTCACCCGAAGCCCAGCGGGCCAACAATACGGCGTAGACACAGCACGACGGGAGGAGGCGAGGGCGAGGGGGACCATCCCCTCCCCCCACCCCCGAGCCTATCCGCCCCCCAACGTTGCCCCCGACCCCGCCCCCCCCCCTGCGAAGCAGAGGCGAAGGGGCGGTCCTCGTTGACGCTGACGCCGTCGAGGAACTGCTTCAGGATCGAGCGGAGCTGCAGGTTCTCCCTCTGGAGGCGGGAGCCCTCCTCGCGGGGCGTCCCAGCCCGGAGCAGCCCGGGGGGGGGGAGATCGGGGCGCCGAGGAGCGAGGAGCGAGGAGCGAGGAGCGAGGAGCGAGCGGAGCTGCGGGCGGGCATCGGGGGAACGCGGGGCCGAGGGCAGAGGATCGAGGAGCCAGGGTCGCTGGACTGCAGCGGGGCGCGAACTCGACGTCCTTCCCACCGCGCGGTCGAAGACAAGGGTTGAGTTCACGACCCGTCTCGGTGCCAGCCACTCGCCGGAACGGCCCCATTCTTATCCTCAGCCTCCTGCCTGCTGCAGTGTTGCACAGGCACGGTGGGGGAGTTTGCGGCAGGCAGCTAGATACGTTACAGGGTGAGGGATGCACAGAGTACATCTGAATGCAGTACAGGGTGGCGAGTACAGCGCATGGATCAAAGCGCAGAATTAGTGCGGAGTAAATGAACAGAGAGAAATATAAAGAAAGAGAGAGAGAGGGAGAGAAAGAGAGGAAGAGATCAAATAGTAGAGAGCCAAACAGGGGAGATGCAGAGTAGACAAATGAAGTGACGAAAATAGAGGGTGGAGAGCATATACAATAATTCAGCGAAGGGGGGCAGAATACAGAGTAGATAATAGAGAATCCACACACACACAAAACAGAGACCCGCATCCGTCATCCTTTACTCTGGCCCACCATCAGCGCGGTGCCGTTACATGGTAAGCTCATACGCTCGGGGCTTCTCTACTAATGTAGCCCACCACCGCGCCTTCAGCACGCAGCGGATGACACCACGGCTTGCGAGTATTGGATGGGCGGTGGGGCTCTCACAAGCCCCGACGCCCGATCTCCCAGAATCCCCAGGAATTCCCGGGCGTTGGCGGGTGCTGCACTCTGCCGCGTGAGCCCTCCAGAAGCGGAACACTACTTCCTCCCAGAACGACAGCAAGAACCCCCCGGAGTCTCGGAGCGAGCGTCCAGACGGGCACGGGAAGCCAACGGGAGCTTCCAGGAGGCGGTAAGGGGCCCCAGCATGCCCACGAGACCCTCCAGGCGAGGCTCCGAGGCGCTCCACGAGAGGCCACGCCGAGGAGTCAGCCCGAGAGGCCTCCTGGACTCCCCCCCCCAAGAGGCCCACAGCGAGCCTCCCAGAGGCCCCCGCGGAACCTCCCAAGAGGCCAAAAGAGGCCTCCAAGAGGCCTGTGGCCCCCGACACGTGCAAGGTGGCGGGATGAGCCGAAGACCACCAGATATCGCAAAGGGGAAACCAAGAACTCCGCACGGGGTGCGGAGAGCAACCGAGGCGAACCGATCTATTGCCCGCCAGACGTGCACCTGGCGTGCCAGGGCTGAGGGCGTGTAAGATTGCCTGCAAGCTCTCTGAGGGCCCCGCGATTTTCTCGGGAGACCCCCCCAGGAGGCTCCCAAGAGACCCCCAAAAATGACCCCAAGAGGCCCCCGAGAGCGCTCCAAAGAGATCCCATGAAGCATCCCTGAGGACCCTGACCCACAACCCAGGCACGGTGTCGGGGTGGGCCGAAGGCCAAGAAGCACAATGGTTTCAACATGTCTGTTGCCCTGGGTATTCCCCCGGCCGCTCAATTAGAGCTGTTAGACTTAGAGACTTAGAGGACACAGCTGCTGAACCGCCTCGCACACCCTGCACACCGCGGCCAGCCAGGCCAACAGTGTGCCTGTGCTCCCTGGGCATCCGCCTCGTGCCTTCGACGCACGACGGCTGCATCCCGCGGCCGCCAGGCTCAAAGCCTGCCGGTGCTCCCTGGGTGCCCCGCCTCGCGTTTTGCGGTGGGGATCGCTGGAAGCAAAGTAAGCAATGGAGGGATTCGGGGAGCGAAACGATGGCCCCAGACAGCCTGCCCCGAGGTACAGCACAGGCCCTCAGCAGGCCCCCCCAGGTGCCACCGACAAGGCCCTCGAGGAGGGCCCCTCGCGGTTACGCGCGGCGAGGCATCTTGCTGTCGGGCATCGAGGGGCACGCTGCTCGGTCGCCTTCGGACCTCGCAGGCCGCCCCCCAGAACTCCCGCGGGTGTCGGGGGACGCCGGGTGGTGGGAGACTGCTGTGGGGCACACGCTGGCAGGCCAGTGTCTTGCGCTTGGTGTGCCCAAGCCTGCAGCCGGAACGGGGACCGAGGAACAGCCCTCAAGAGCCTGGGACCCTCCGCCGGCCAAAGCACCCCAGACCCTCTCCAAGATGCACAGTAGCCTACGACAAGCACGGAGAACACTACGGCACCCTCCCCGAGCCGACCTCGATCCTAGACTGAGACCCGACCGTACTGCACTGGGCCACGAGGAAGAGGCTGCAGAGGAAACGCCAAGGCGCCTGCACCAGGCCCCGAGCAAAAGCGCAACCACAATTCACAACCTTACGGCCACGCCACACGACGCCACGATGCTACCAAGCCTGCTCGGGATGCTCGTGTTGGCACCCGCCGCACGCTCGGGCAAGACTCTATCACTAGAAGCACAAAAACAAGACCAACCTCAACTACTGGAGGTTCGCGCACATTTCTTGCATCGGCTCTGTGGCCCCCCTCTCCAGCGCGCGGAGCGTGCCAGGGGCGGCGCTCGAGATGCCGCCATGGGGGCCCAGCGCCGATCCAAGAAATCCGCGCGGAGCTGCAAACAACTATGCTTATGAAGTGTTTGCTTCTTCGGCCTAAGATGGATCCCGCAGGGGGTCAGAGAGTATAGCGCTGGACCCAGGCGGCCCCCCAAAGCCCCAAGGACGGCCCAAGACGGCTCCAAGAGGCCCCCCAAACCCCAACCATATCGGTATAACCATCGCGCCCAAAACTACCCTCATATACAAAACAAGCCCCCAGGACGCCCCCGAGATGTCGCCACATAGGCCCCCGAGAAGGCACCGTATCAGGCCCCGAAGAGGCGCTCAGGGAAAGCCCCAAAACGCCTCCATCAGGCCCCGAGCAAAAGCGCAACAACACACAGAGCCACGGCCACGCCACGACAGATCACCGCAGCGTTGCATACCAGATGGCACCACAATGCTGCCGAGCCTGCTCGGGATGCTTTTGGAGGTCCGCGCGGACGTTTACAGTCGCGCGGAGGTCCGCGCGGATTTCTTGGAGTGCGCGGAGCGCGCCAGGGGTGGTGCTCTGGAGGCGCCGCCAGGGGGGGCAAGCGCCGATCCGAGAAATCCGCGCGGAGCTCCGAACGTTGATGGCCGTGCCGCGCCTCCTTCTTCGACGCGCTCGAGACGCGCGGGCTCCGCCTCCTCCTCCTCCTCCTCCTCCTCCTCCTCCTCCTCCTCCTCCTCCCCCTCCTCCTCCTCCTCCCCCTCCTCCCCCTCCTCCTCTCTCCTCCTCCTCCTCCTCCTCCTCCTCCTCCTCCTCCTCCTCCTCCTCCTCCTCCTCCTCCTCCTCCTCACCGACGCATCACTGGTCCGCCTCCGCAGGGGACTCGGGCTGGGAGCCGCGGTCCTGCTCCCAGAGGACGGAGCAGAGCCTCGCGCCCCAGTAGGCGCTCCAGGCGCGCAGGAAGGCCCCGCAGAGCGCGAGGAGCAGGATCAGCGCCAGGACGACTTTGGTCACTCGCATGTGCCCCTCGCAGTCGCGCTCCCCTGCACCGTCGCTCGCAGACTCGGCGCACATGATGTACTTCTCCTCCAAGCACCAATTGTGGTGCCTCCCCTTCACGCAGGTGCTGCCAAACCGGTCGACCCCCAGCGCGAAGAGCATGGCGATGCCAGCAACCAGGACAGTCCACAGATCACCGCACAGGCCAATCCAGCTCATGCAGCTAAAGAGGCCAAGCATATGCGCGCTCTCGTTGTCTGCGCCGTACTGACCGCAGACAGGCACGAGGCAAGATCCGCGGCAGTGTCGTAGGCACCGAGTGGAGCGTCGTCAGATGCACTCGAATGTTCCTGTGCTGGCGGAATGCTGAAACAGGTCTGGCCTGGCGCCCCGTGTTCCGTGCGATCGGGGGCGCCCGTGGGAATCCCCGTGGGGATCGTGGGCGCTCTTGCGATCGTGGCCTTCTCCCGAAGCCAACGACTGCCCTGGAGAGGTACCCAACTCATATGCAACAGGTGCCCACAGCAGTGCGCGAATGTTTCGCGGATGGTCGCATGGCCAGAGCATGGTGTGTTGTGAAACGTTAATGGGACGTCTGCACGTTGCACGACTCACAGACAGGCATGAGTGAGGCTGTCATGTCGGATATGGCATGGCAAGAGAGCAAGGGGAAACTAGTGGACGACACATAATACGACGACAGGACAGAAAAGACAGAGGATGGCATGGATCGCTTGAAGGGCGAGGTCTCGCTTGGGTCCGCGCAGGATGTCCTGACGCTGGACTCCCCATTTGCTCACGAACATGGCGACGGGTGTGCAGATCGCAGCCCCCAGGGAGGGCGATGTCTCGTTTGGGTCCGCGCAGAACACGAGTCCGCTGGACATCCCAGGAGCCCATGAGGGTGGCGACAAGTTCGCAGTTCGCAACCCTCCATAGAGGCAGAGACATCCCCTCGGATCCACGTAGGACGCCCTCCCCCAGCTGGACCTGGCCCTGCTCCAGGAGCCTGCCCGGGGCGGGGGCAGCCTCGCACGGGCCGCAGCCCCCCCCCCCAGCACGGGGAGGGCGAGCGGCCCGCTGGGGGGCCGCGGGGGGGGGGCGGCCTTCCGCGGGGCCTCCCGGGATAGCCCACGGTCGTGGCGGTGGTGTCGCAGGTCGCAGCCCCGGAGGGGTGGGGCGGCGAGGTCTGGTTCGGCGGCGAGCGAGGGGGGGAAACGAGAGGGGGAAGGCCTTCTCGGGAGCCGGCGGGACTTCCCAGAGGCCCGCTCGGCCTTCTGAGATGTTCTCCGTGTCTTCGGGGACGGCGTCGAAAACTTCTCAGAAGGCCCCCCGCCGCCGACTAGTTCTGATCTGGGTAGGATCGCACACCGCTGGACCCCGCAGGAGCCCACGAGCGCGGCTGCGCTTGCGCCGTACGCGGCCCCGCGGGCGGTCACGTCCACCTCTGGTTATGGGCAAGGCCGCACCCCTCTGGGCCCGCAGCAGCCCACACAAGCGGCTGGAGCTGCGCAGTTCACAACGCCCAGGGACAGCGAGTTCCAGTTCTGCCATGGGCAGGACAGCGTCCATCTGGACCCCGCAAAAAGAACAGACGAAATCGGGGGGGGGGGGGGGGCACCTGCGCACGAGGTCGAATCGGACTCGCGTGAGCCGTCCCTCCGCTGGGCCTCCTGGGAGCCAGCGCGAGTGGCGCCAGCCTCGCGGGTCGCAGGCCCCGGGGACGGCGAGGTCGAACCCGACGGTCTGCGAAGGACGGTCGCGCCGCTGGGATTCCCAGAAGCCCACAGCAGTAGGCAAGCTGGGCTGTTCACGGCCACAAGCGAGGGCGGGATCTGACTGGAGTCTGCGTGTGACGTCACTCCGCTGGGCCTCCCACAAGCCCACGACAGTGGCGAAAGGTTAGCAGCTCGCAGACCCCAGAGCGCGCGAGGTCTACTTTGGGCCTGCGTGTGACGTCAGTCCGCCGAGCCTCCCAGGAACCCACGAACGTGGCGACACCTGCGCAGTTCACAGCCCCCAAGGACGGCGAAGTCAAAAATGGGTCTGCGTGTGTCGTTACCCCACGGAGCCCCCGAGGAGCCCACGAAAGTGGCGACAGCTCGGCAGCTCGCAGTACCCAGGGACGGCGAGGTCACATCTGGGTCTGCGTATTACGTTACCGCGCTGGGCCTCCAGGAGCCCACGAAAGTGGCGACAGTTGCGCAAGTCGCAGCCACCAGAGCGGGCGAGGTCAAGTCTGGGTCTGCGTATGACGTCACTCCGCTGGGCCTCCCAGAAGACCGCGGAAGTGTCGACGGCAGCGCAGGTCGCAGCCACCAGAGCGGGCGAAGTCCAACCTGGGTCTGCGTATGACGTCGCTCCGCTGGACCCCAGGAGCCACCGAAAGTGGCGACATCTTCGCAGTTCACAGCGACCAAAAAGGGCGAAGTTCTATTTGGGTCTACGTATGACGTCACTCCGCTAGACCCCCCCAGGAGCCAACGAAAGTGGTGACATCTTAACAGCTCAGTCCCTTGAGACGGCGAGGTCCAATCTGGGTCAGCGTATGACGTCACTCGGCCGGACGCCCCAGCAGAGCAAGAAACAGTGGGCTGGGTGTCGCAGGTCACGGCCCCCAGCGAGGGCGAGGTCTACTCTGGGCATGCGTATGGCCACTCTGCTGGGCCTCCCAGGAGCGCGCCAAAATGCTGAAATCTTCGGAGTTCGCAGCCATCAGCGAGCACCCCCCTCCCCCCCTTCTCCCCTGGGGGCGAGGTCTAATCTGGGTGTGCAAATTACGTCACTCCGCTGGGCCTCCCAAGAGCCCATGACAGTGGTGACAATTTCACAGGTCGCACCCCCCAACGAGGACACTCGGCCGGACGCCCCAGGAGCCCGCAAAAGTTGGTACATGTTCGCAGGTCGCAGCCAGCAGCGAGGGCGAGGTCAAGTCTGGGTCTGCGTATGACGTCCCTCTGCACGGCATCCCAGGAGCCCGCGACAGTGTCGACAGCAGCGCAGGTCGCAGCCACCAGAGCGGGCGAAGTCCAACCTGTGTCTGCGTAGGACATCACCCAGGTTGCCCATGAAAGTGATGACAGCTGCGCAGGTCGCAGCCACCAGACGTCACCCCGCTTGACCTCCTAGGAGCCCGCGAAAGTGTCGACAGTTGCGCTGTTCGCAACCATGGAGGGCGAGCTCTAATATGAGTCTGCGTGTGATGTCAGTCCGCGGAGCCTCCCAGTAGCCAAAGTTCTGGCGAGCTTGCATTATGGCTGGGCATGACGTCACTCCGCTGTGCCTCCCAGCAGCCCGCGAGAGTAGCGACAGCTTCGCAGTTTGGCGGCAGATGCGCAGCTCGCAGCAGCTCGGAAGGGCGAGGAGGTGAGAGGCAAGATGCAGGTGGGAAGCAGGAGACAGGAGGCGGGAGGAGAAAGAGGGCAGCAGTGCCCGAAACAGAAACAAGAACCCGGCGCAGGAGGGCAGGGAGTTATGGAGAAACCGGTGGCGTTTGAATGGTTTCGGCTCTGGTCGAACTGGTCTCACGAGCAGCACTATGCCGAGATGGGATGGCCTCCAAGACCGCAAAAAAGGCCCAGGGAGGCGCCCAACAAGAGGCCCCAGAGAGGCCATCGAGAGGCCTCCCAGGGGCTCCCGAGAGGCACCCCAAGAGACCCAGGAGGCATCTCCAGAGGCCCCTGACCCGCAGGCCAGGCACGGTGACGGGAGGGGCCGAAGGCCACCAGATCCACCGCCCCCTCGGCGACTTGCCACAGGGGTGCACAGCGTGCTAAACTTGTGCGTGGTTGTACAGTCGGGATTGATTGGAGAGGACACGCGAGAGGACACAAGACCCTTCCGAGGGCCACATTGCCACAGGAATGTAAGAAGACGTGGGTCGCGAAGCTCAGGACGCAAGGGTACCCTTGATTTGGCAGGGTCGACCTACTAATCCGGGCCGACTGTAGTCCTCTGTGCAGTCTCCCAGTGGGATCTCGTCCCAGCCTGCGGGCCACCCAGGAAACCCCAAAGCCGCGGGCCTTCCCGCTCCAGACGGCCCCAGGAGGGCCTCCGAGACGGCTAAAATGGTCCCCGAGACGGCTCCGATAGCCCCAAGAGAGCCCAGAGATGGCCCCAAGGTGTCTCACAGACGGCCCAAGGTGCACCCGAGACGGCCCAAGACGGCCCCGGGATGGCCCAAGAGGCCCCCAAGACGCCCCAAGAGGGCTCCAAGACGACCTCAGGAGACCAGATCAGTGGTTCCCCACACGTGCGTCCTGTGGTCTCAGCGTTCTCACCGTTTCGGGCGTCCGACGCTCCAAGACGGCCCCATAGGCTCCCGAGATCGCCCTAGCACTGCCAAAAGGCCTCTAACAGGCCCGCAGGACGGCCCGACGGTCCAAGAGGCCCCGAAGACGGCCCCAAGACGACCCCCGAGACCTCCAAGACGGCCCCAAAGCGACCAAAGAGGGACCCACGACTGCCCAGAGAGAGCCCCAAGACGGCCTCCGAAGGCCAAGAGGTCCGTCAGGCGCCCACAGAGGCCCCCAAGAGGCCTTGCAAGAGGCCTGCAAGAGGCCCTGCAAGAGGCCCTGGCGTACACCCTAAGAGGGTTCAGGAGGACCCCAAGAGGTTCTTAAGAGGCTCCCAAGAGGCCCCCTGGAGAAGCCCCAAGAGAGTCTCACAGAGGCCTCCTCGTCTTCCTCCTTCTCCTCCTCCTCCTCCTCCTCCCCCGCCTCCTCCTCCCTCCTCCTCCCTCCTCCTCCCTCCTCCTCCTCCTCCTCCTCCTCCTCCTCCTCCTCCTCCTCCTCCTCCTCCTCCTCCTCCTCCTCCTCCTCCTCCCTCCTCCTCCTCCTCCTCCTCCCTCCTCCTCCTCCTCCTCCCTCCTCCTCCTCCTCCTCCTCCCTCCTCCTCCTCCTCCTCCTCCGCCTCCTCCTCCTCCTCCTCCTCCTCCTCCTCCTCCTCCTCCTCATCCTCCTCATCCATCTCCTCCTCCTCCGATCTCTTCCTCTCCCACATGTTTCCCCTGTAGGTTCCACAACGGCTGGGGGGCACATGGTATGATAGCTCGGCCAGACTTCGGCCCAACGTTTGACCGCATGGACGTCTCCAAAAGGCAGGGGGGCGGCGGTGATTCG